TAAATGCAATATTGACTCAAACATAAAATATTTTTGTAAAAAACTGTTTTGATCTCACCTTTCATTTTTCAGTGTTAAAATCTCTTCCTTTGTCTCATTCAGAAGAGTTTTGGTTATCTTTAGTTCATTTTCTGTAAGGTTAATTTTTCTTTTTATCTCTTCTTCTTGTCTTTCTTTTCTAGTTAGCTCTTCCTGTAAAGTTTTATATATTTGTTGACAAGTCATTAAAGAGTCTTCTTTTTCTTTAAGCAGCCTAGTATGCCTAAAAATGAATAGAAAAAAACCCCCACCAATGTTCATTAGATATTATATTTTATATTTATCAAAGATACACAAAAAGCGTATTTGAAATTATAGATTGTAACTGTGACTTAAAAAATTAAAGATGTTAAGAAAATGGGTAGTTCTGTGATGTTAAAATTTTCCCATCTAGGCAAAGGCAATAAACAATTGCAAGACATTATAAGCTTGAATTAGGTATGGCATATCTAAACAATAAGAAAATAAGAAAAGCTAAGTAATTTTAAATAAAATATTATTTAAATATGGTTTCAAATTCAATTGTTAAAAATAGGAATTAAAAAATTTGCAATATATACCGTGACTCAGAAATAATGGATTCGAACTTCAGTTTTCTAAGTTCTCTTTGATAGTCATCAGCTTCATTAGATTTATTCCTAAATAATAAAAAAGAGGTTCAACTATGTTATTTTAAAATAGTTAAAGTGTTTTTCTATATCATTATTTTACTCATCCATAGAAAGAATTTCTTGACATCTTCATACTATTATTTGTTTAAGGAAATAAACATTCAGTCCACTTCTATAATGACCAAGTAAGCTCCTATCAAACTGATCTGCATTTAAATAAAAAGTATAACCTCTGGACAACATTAAAAACAAAATTTTTTTTAAAAAAAGCCTATTGAAGGCATTGAAGTGACCCAAAGCAGGGAGATGCTGGAGGGAAGCTGACATACGGAATGAGGTGACAGCATGAGGTCCGGTTTTTTAAAATGATTTTAAGCCTGAGGGCAGGCTCCAGTCAGCACCATGTAGGGGAAATAAAACTCTGGTAGAAGTAGAAAACTCCAGTCTTTCTGGCCTGAAGAACCAGAGGACAGTATTTGGGGCAACCACACCTGCTAGAAAGTGAAAGAAGATTGCTGAATAGGAGAGAGCCAGAGAGAGAGAGTCCCAAATACTGCATATAAATTCTGCTCACATGTCTGGCTGAGCCCTGAACTACACATGTACAGAGCAGACAACCAAGCAGTCTAGTTAAAGAAAAAAAACTGAACTGAGATTGAGCAGCTGTCCTAGACAGAGTTTGCAGTTTGAGGCCAAGTTAATTGCCTGCTTAAAGCAACACCATCCCACCACCATCAACAACAACAAAAACAACATTTTTTGGAAGAATATAACAGAATCCATGATCACCATAACATAACATTCACAATGTCCAGAATATTAGAAAACATTATCCAACATACAAAGAAACAGAAAAGTGTGACTCATTTCTAAGAGTCAGTAAACAGGGACTGACTGAAATGACCTCCATATTGAAATTAGCAGATGAAGGTTTTTGAAGGAGCAATTATAACTCTGCTTGAAAACATAAAGGAAAATCTGTTCTAATTAATAAAAAGATGGAAATATCAGCAGAGAAATAAAAACCATTAAAAAGAACCAAATGGAAATTCTAAAACTGAAATAAACATTTGCCTTGATCTTATAAGATTGAGTCTTGTAACAATACTCAAAAGGTTAATACAGTAAGAAAGATTAATATTCTAATTTAAATTTATATCCACTGTTCATTAACAAGTTAAGTCATTATCTAAATGCACTTCAAAATATCTTATAAGTTATTTATCCCTTTACACTATATTTTAATTTTACACAATGAAATATGTTAGATTAATGGGTCTGTCCTCCTTGCAATAATAACTTTAATTTCTAATAAATGGTAATGTAAAAATTATCATGAGCATGCACATTCATTTATTTTTATACTCTTTAATTGTAAAATATAACAAAACTGTAAGATATAGAAAACTGCATAAAACAAATATACAATATAATGAATTATTATAAAGAGAACACTCTGGTAACTACCATCCAGGTCCAAAAATAAAACCTCACCAGCTACTCTAGTAGCTCTTCATGTCCCTGGTCTCAATCATAGCCAACTCCCTCCTCCCTAAAAGTAACCATTTTCCTGACTTTTATTGCAATGACTGATTTTCTTTGGAGCTTTATTATCTAAGTGTTATCCCTGAACACTATATTTTAATTTTGCATTTATTTTAATGCCTTTTAAAAATATGTTATTTCCTCCATTACCCTCTTTTTGTGAAATGGCTCTATGAAGGTATTGTATTGACATATAATAAATTGCACATCTTTAAAGTGTACAATTTGATAAGTTTGACATACTTCTCTACCCATGAAATCATCACCACAATCTGCATGAGCACACTCAGGGCCCAGATCTTGGTTTCTAACAATTTTCCCCATTAAAAGGCACCAGGACTACTGAAAGAAGTGGCTGATTTCAAGGCTGGGGCAGAGTCAGTATATTTGAAATATCTTGTTATGCTAGAAGTACTTATAAAAGATGATGGGATCATGTTCTAGTATCAGAGGAGCCAGTTTGAAATGGCTCCTACTTACTAAGCCTAGGACAATTTGAGTACCAAAATAATTAAGTAGACTAATAAATTATAAACCATACAATAAATAAATAAATGGAAGAAGTGAGGCTCTTGCTGAGGGCTGACTAATAAATAGGGAAGATGGTCTAGAGTTGGAAAATCATTATTTAGGAACCATTACAATAAAGATTAGATTAGGCAAAAATCATTAATGGATGCTATATCTAGGGATAAATTTTGGTGAGCAACAGGACATTTACATGTATTTAAAGTGTCTCTTACAAACTTACTAACTGAAAGAGAACAAAACCCCTCAGTAATTACATAGTAGAAAAATTGAGCAACACCTTGACCAGGTAATCAAAATTAATGTCACTATTGAGGGTCAGATGGTTATCCTGTGCCTCTAGATGTGATGCTCTCACATCGCCACCTACACAGGTTTTTGGCTAAGAACATCTATCCTTAATCCAATCAAGAGGAAACATCAGAGCAATACAAAATGAGAAAATTTTTATTTTAAAAAAGTGTGAGGGGTTCTGTATTCATTAAAAATGTCAATGTCATTAAAAGACAAAGGCATACTGTGGAAATATTCCAGATTAAAGGAGGCTAAAGAGACATCCAAGTAGACTGACTCTAGACTGGATCCTGTACTAGAGGAGAAAATGCTATAAAGGACATCATTAGGTCAGCTGGCAAAATTGAAATATAGATGGTAGATTAAAGTAATGTCTGTATGTAAATTTACTGACTTGACTGTGGTTTTGTAAAATGTCACTGTCCTGAGGAAAGGCAGGCTGAAGTATCTAGAGGTAAAGGGCCATGTTGTATGTAACTGATCCTCAAAAGTGTTCATTAAAAAAAATACACACACACACACACACACACACACATACACACACATACACACACACACACACATATGTAACTGGCTCCATGAACAAATTCCAATGACCCCTAGATGTTTTGTTATAATCCTCTCACTTGACTAACTTCTTGACCTTTAGAATTATTTTCCAGAAATGATGGATTTTCTGGGAGACAAAGGGGATGAGATTCTGAAGGCCCCAGGGCAGGCTTCTGATGCCAGGACTCACCATCCTGCTTAACCTGCCCCAAGGCAGGTGGCCCCTCCTTAAAAAGCCCAGGACCTCCAGAGATGGATCTGATGCAGCTTCTCCCATTCTAACAAGACGTCTGTCATATTAAAGAATTCCTTTCTTCCTTGGCAATCCTCGTTGTCTCAATAACTGGATCTTTGTGTGAGGAGCAATTGGACCTAGACTGAAACCCACTTACGGTTTGACAACACAAATATATGTATGAATGTGTGTGTGCAAGAGAGAGAGAGGGAGAGGGAGGGAAAAAGGGAGAGGAAGAGAGAGCTAAGAGAGAGAGAAAGAGGGAGAGACAGGAAGTAAATGGGTTAGACTGTTAACAATAGGTGAATCTGGGTAAAGGCTATTTGCGTGCTCTTTGAACTATTTTTTACAATTTTTTATAAGTTTGAAGTTTGTTAGGTCCAGAGCAGAGAGAGAGACACATGAAGCCTCATGTATAGCAAAATACTGTTTATTGTGAGCATCTGAGTGCAGATGGGTGGAGGCTGAAAAAGGGAGAGCCTTGGGTTTTAGAGAAGGTTTTTCTGAGGGAAGTAAATAAAGTCTTTTCAAACAACCCGGAGGGATAAGGAAAGTAAGTTTCCCTCTTGCATTCCATTCCTTTATCTCCCTAGGGAACAACAGGGAGGGATAAATGGTCCTTATCAGGAGGGATAAGGGAAGTAAGTTCCCCTTTTGCATTTCATTCCTTTATCTCCCTAGGGGTCTGGCAAAGGCTAAGTGCCTAATACACCCCTAGGAAGGGGAGAGGGGTGGGTTTTATAGGAGGTTTGGATGGAAGTTTGGGGAGGGTGAATTCTTTAAGACTAACAAAGTTATTTCCAAATAAAACATTAGAAAAGAAGGAATAAAAAAAGATTAACATGCCATTAGGAAAGTGGGCAAAAGCTATGCTCAGGTGAGTCCCAAAGGGAAAAATACAAGAAGCCAGAAATTCACGGGTATAATTTTTTCAAGTTACAATACCCAGTTTTGGCTAGAAAGTAGAAAAATAGGTGTTAACAAAAACTGCTGAGATTACAAATCAGTATGATCATATTGGAGGGCAATAGTCATTATGCATTAAAAGCCTTAAAAATATTCAAGTTTGATTCTAGCAAAAATTATCCTAAAAAGTTGTAAGTAGAAAGATTTATCTATACGAATTTTCAAAGTACCTTACTTATCCAAATGAAAAATTTGGACATTCTAAAAACAAGAGATTAGTAAATAAATTATATTTCATCCATAAACTGGAATACTATGTAGCCATTAGTAATTACTTATAAACATATCAAATAATGATGCGTAAAAATGTCCAGGATATATCGCTAAGCAAAAAAATTTGCAAAACAGTACATAAAGTATATTCCCAATTATGTTAAAAATATATTACTTAGAAAAATGGACTAGAAAGATCTATCAAAATGTAACTGTGACTTTTTCTGTATATTAGTATATTTTCCAAGTTTTACACATTTGGTTTAGAATCAAACAAAAATGTTGTTTTTACAAATGCCTTGAGATTCAGAAGTCCCACCACAACTTTCACTATATGTTCAGACTCACACACACTTTTCCAAATCTAGAGGCAGGGACAGTAGAATTCCTTTTAGTGGTTATTTTACTAAGTATGTAGATAATTGATCTGGGCTGCAATTTTTTTTTTTTTTAAACCCTGCTCCCTAGAGAACCTACCATCCCAAGAACTCCCCTTGCCATGGCCTCTTCCTAGCCCCCAAGCCAGTTAAGCCGCTCTTTCAGTAGTCTACTCTTCATTACCCAACTGTTATCTTCGCCTTCATTAGGATGGAGGAGTTGGAAGGAATAGAAAGAACGCCTGCATCTCTACAAGCACTGCATTCCCTCTTCTACTCTCAGCAAACAGTGTTAATCCTTTCTCTTCAACTGCTGTGAA